GATGTAGGTGCAACTGTGGATAAGACACAGGGTAAACCCTCAGAAAATTGTAGGAGAAAAGTAAGGGCACTGTGATATAAAAGTTCTAAGGAGCTCTGGTGGCATAGTAGTTATGAGTTGGGCTGCTAATCTCAAGGTCAGCAGTTCAAAACTACCAGTGGTTGTGTGGGAGAAAGATGAGGCTTTCTGCTCCCATAAAGATTTATAGCCCCAGAAACCCTACACTGAGTTGCTATGAGTCAGAACCGACTCCACGGCACATAACCACCACCAACCACCACCACCACCACTAAGTATACATAAAACATGGTTTGTAATTAAAAACTATCATCTCTATATCAATATTCATTTCAAGGTTTATTTACTAATTTTGAATTGCTTATAAGAGCTAGTGCCATTTCTGATTTCTGCTGCTACATAACTTCATTATTTCAATCACACAAAGTCAGTAAAAACAAATCTTCAATTTATATTATGACTGCTGTCTACATTGTTCTCACTCTTCCTCCTCTTTCATATTCATATCTCAAAACATATCTAAATTATGAATATATAATATCAATATTTGTGGTTTGGTAATAGACATTTATATTCTCATATAATCCACACAAACAGATACATGCTGTTTCAGCTTAATAAGCATTTTATTCCACTGGACAAGGGGGATAATATATGCTTTTATGCAAAGCACACACAGCTTTTAAAGCAAGCTTTCTTCATAATACGGGTACTATTCTTGAGCTCAAGCTCTGCGTTCTGTAATGAATAGGAAGGTTAAAGGGGGACATTTTATATGTGAGTGTTTAGGAGTGCCAATCTGGATTTTGTGTTTTAGAAAATAACCCATAGCGCCTTAGTTTCCCAAAGGGCAGTGCTTTGTTACTAGGCAACAGCTTCTGAAACCCAAGATGTGCTAACTCAATACAATTGCAGATCAGCTTCCAGGTATTCTTTGATTTATGAGATAAGCAACAGAAACAATTCATTAACACTGCTTGTTTTTTTCACTCAGTCATTTTGGAGGTGGGAGATAAAAAAAAAAAAAAAAAAAAACGGGTGTAGAGGCTTTGAAAGGGGAGAGTGGCATTGCTCATACAGGTATATATACTATTGAGTCAGCAATACTGAAAATTTGCCTTTTTCTCCTTCCCACTACTTAAAGTGGCCAACCTAAAATAGAGATTTAAAAATACTAAGTGATATGTTTGCCTGCCTCTCCTAATGTTCTTGAACATAACTTAATAAAGTAATAGTATAAAGGTGCTGAATTGAGGTTTACATGTGCATCTTGTGCCCATGTTTTCAGAATAAAAGTAAGTGCTATTCCTGGGATTTTCAACAGTTTCTGCAGACTTTTTTGGTCTGTCCTAACTCCTCACTGGTATGGGCTGTAGGTTAATGTTCCAGACTGCAAAGCTGTTTGAACTGCAAAATCAGTGATTCAAGCTCACCAGCTGCTCCTTGGAAATCCTATACAAGGTCGCTGTGGGTCAGACTCAACGGCACTTCACAACAACAACAACAGCTACTCCTCCTCTCTGGAGTCCTGGTGTAGCACTGTCGGTTAATGCGCCAGACTGCAAAGCCATTTAAACTGCAAGGTCAGCGGTTCAAACTTACCATTTGCTCTTTGGAAACCCTATACAGGGTCGCTATGGGTTGGAATCAACTCGACAGCTCTTAACAACAACAAACAACAACTACTTTCTGCATCAGCAATTTACTGCTTGATTGAGTACATGTTCTGAATATTCTTTATATTCTCCAGCAAAGACTGGAAGCAGACTGATTTAGAATGCTTCAGTGCATTCCAAAGACCTCTGAGAACCCATCTGATGGGCTTGTTGCTCCTCTCAAGTACACACGTAACTACTAAAAAATCAGAACTCAATTACTAAGTTGCTCTCCTGCCTAATGTTTGCTACGTAAGATGTTCTAGGACATTTAAGTGATGGCATTGCTAATTAAAATACATTTTCTATGACAGATTGAAATCTTTATTTTGAGACAGCTGATGTGGGTTGCCTGAGATAAATGCTTCAGTAGTTTTGATGCTATTTTAAGGAATAATGTATTCATTCTTTAAAAAAAGGAATTAAGGGAATGCTTCCTTATATCCATGAGCACTAGTTTAGCTTGATAGGCAGTTTCATGAAAGCAGTTTGTCTGTTTTATAAAAATAAAGATTACCATTTAATTCACCCATCCCTGAGTCTAAGTATTCCAGTATTTGAATTATTCCATGGTATAAATATTTACATGTGAGGTGGGTTAAAATGAACTATTTAAATATTTTATAAAAGGAAGACATAAGGAACACTGTCATTAATTGGCACAATAGTTAAATATTTGACTGCTAACCTAAAGTCAGTAGTTTCAATCCACCATCCATTCAACAGGAGAAAGATGTGATTTACTTCAGTAAAGAGTTCAGCAGTAGAAACTATGGGCAGTTCTACTCTGTCCACTAGAGTTGCTTTGAGTCTGGATTAACTTGATGAGACAGCAACATATTTGTCTTTCTGATTATCTTGTAAGGATTCCTCTCTGGGATCACAGATTGTGTGGGTGTGTTTGTGCATGCACATATGCTTTTATATTAAGTATTTACTATATGCCAGGCCTCCTCACAAATATTAATGCTCAAAGTTGTTCTATTTATTATTTAACATGATTTTACAAACTTGGCAGAGGAAGTTCTGAGGGCTTAAGTAATTTGCCAAACATACTACGTTGTGGATTTTTGAGTCATTGACAAATTCTGACTCCAGTTCCAACATTGTTTGCAATTTCAACCTTATTTTAATGAATTATGTAATGGAAATAATAAAAGATTCATTCTCTAGTACATAGGATTGCTATGTCAACATCTAACAACAACAGTAAAAGATTGCTTAATTTAACATATTGTTGTCCTGTACAGTTGTGACTTTTTAATCAAAGGCCATTTCCAATAAATATTTAGTTCATTTCACATTTGAGTTTGCATATGTATTCACCTTCCTTTTTTGCTTTCATATGTGCAGGTATCCGTGGGGAGTGACCAAGCAGTAGGCTTATAAATTTAAAAAAAAGAGATTTTGGCATTTTCAATAAGAATATTTTGTATTATAGTTCAATATAATTTATATAATTTACAATGTATATAAAAACTTATCTGTGTAAATATAATTTTAATGTTGATTTGGAAATAATTTAATGGCAGGTTGTGAATAAATTCAGTATTTTCAAAATCGTTAAAATTACTCAGAGGATGGTCAAAATAAAGAATTATATTACTGAACGCTACTAATTTGAATGAATGGGCATTTAATAAATGTATTCTAATCTCCAGCCAAGAATGCTAATTTTTAAAATTCAAGGTACCTCAGCTAAGACATCACTTTTGGTTTAGCTATCTAGTTCTTTCAGCATTAATATGTTTTTACTTGTGTAAAATACCCCATGTATTTGGCTAAATGATGAAGCTTGTAACATTATTAAAATGATGAGATTTTAGCCTGTTTTACTGTAGCTAGCAAGAGGCATCATAATCAAATTTAAAAAATATATTTCATATTAGTTATTCTTGTAAAATAATACTATTCCAAAAAATTTCTCTAGAACCAGTGATATTATGACAGTATTATATTATGGACGTACTATTAATTAATAAGACATAATCATCATATTATATATTATTAAGATAGAGTTGTTTTTTATGTGCCTTCGAGTGGTTTCCAACTCATAGACACACTGTATAGGGTTTCCAAGGCTTTTAAATCTCTACGGGAGCAGAAAGCCTCGTCTTTCTCCGGGGAGCAGTTGGTGGGCTCAGTCTATTAAGACAAGAGCAGTACATAAATTGGAAACAGGTAATGGAGTCCTGGTGTGGTACCGTGGGTTAATGCACTGGACTGTAAACTCGCTTTGAACCACAAGGTCGATGTTTAAGCTCACCAGCTGCTCATCAGAAACCCTATGCAGGGTTGCTATGGATCGGAACCGAGTCAACGACATTAACAACAATAACAATGTAGCCGAATAAGTTGAGCCATTTGAAGGACGCTGAGAACTGGTCCTGAATTTATTTGAATTAATAAAATCTGATATTTATCAGTAATAATTATTTACCACAGATACAGAGAAAGTTATGGTTGAAGAATAGTGCTTTAAGTATTTATGGATATGGGAAGAGAGGTTAAAGTAGATCTGTATAAATGAGCAAAATATAAATAAAAATATGCCAATCTTCAGCATGCCTCTAGAGTACACATTTTCTGGAGATGAGTTGCCTTAAAGCAAAGCAATATTTGATTATTATTGTCATTATTTGGAAATCAAAGGAATATTCTGGTGTAGGTGTGATGATACATACATTATCTGTGTACTTTTGAATTGTAATAAGCCAATCATTGAGATATGAGTCTCTTCATGGAGGGAAAAAGGGCTATTGAATTTCAACATAGATCATTCTCTTACCAATATTGCTTACATGTATAACCCACTCTCGTTCAAATAAGCATTAATATTGACAGAGTATCTCTACAGTTTCAATTTTCACATATACATCGAGCATTTATATACTGGGCATCGTGGCCTCACAATCAGCTCTCCAGTTTCCACAAACAGTCTGATTATATAGGACTGAAGATAAGGCCTCTTTTGACAAAGACACTATTTAACATGGACATGAGTTGCTTTTATGCAACTAAAGACAAGTAAGTATAATGTGAAAATATGGAGAGGTGTTAATCTTAAGATTCTGAAATACGTAAAAAAATTTGAAAGTAGCTTGTTTTTTCATAGTAAATGGGATTAATATCATATAGTCACTTTTATTCTGACAAATAAATTACCCATTGACTTAAAAAATTATTCTCCATTTATTAAAAATTTAGAGCCTTTATTGTATCTCAGATATTTTGTTTTAAAGAACAAAACCAAAATTCAGAGGAGAAAATTGAATTTAAGCATAGTACTGCGAGATATTAATCACTTTTTAAAATTCTGTCTTTCAGGAGAGAACAGTCACCATTAGAAGACAAACTGTAGGAGGATTTGGATTAAGCATAAAGGTAGCTGATCTTTCCAGCATATCATTATGAAAGTCATGCTGTCATGTTTCAGATGTATTCTGAGAGACTCATGGCACCCTTCCCATATGATTTAAGATTTTTAAATAAATTATTTGGGACTTTCATCTTACCAGACATTGCATACAACTCACTGACTTTTTTTCATGTGGTTTCACGTAAAATATTAAATATGGTGTTTTCTTGCACATGTCTTCTATAATCATTCAGAGTACAAATTATTGACCTGACAGTGAGTGAAAGAAATTAAAATAAATAAATTGTCTATTCCTGTTTTTCTTTAGCTTAGTTTTCTTTCTTTGTTTTTTTTTTTTTTTAAATAAATCAGTACCATTTCCTGTTACAATGCAGGCGTATGGAATAGACTAGAATTTTAGCATTTCTGTATTTTAATATCATACCTATATATTTCTGTCTATTAATAAACTTAATTGGTTCTTATTTCTATATATTTTTTATTATTAAAGATATACAGCATCTGTAACTTATCATCCTGGAGATAAAATAGAGGAGTAAAAAGGATGGGAATTTGTATGCATAATGTAAGAATTCAGGCAATTATTCATGTATATGTAGATAAACAAACTCAAACTTTACCTTGGTACTTGGGTTAGGTAATTTGCTTATTAGGGTAAATATCAAGTATACATCTTAGGTATACACTTAATGAAATTTTCAATGTGGTATAAGTTATATATAGATGTAAAATGAACTATAAATGTTTGTGAATATCAGCTCTAGCAGCCTTTATGAAAATTTTTAGATGAGAGAACAATGTCATAGATAAGAATATTATTAGAAGGAAATGTTAGTTTTAAAATGTATTTTGTGGTTTTACTTTATCTTTCACTGACTAAAGCTAAAAGAATTTCATCATTCATTAAACAAAGTTTTGCTTTTGTTGGCTGGTTGCTTTTTTCCCTTCTTTTTTCTTTTTGTTTTTTTGACCAGAATGTTTATTAAGGTTATGAAGGACATACAGGTATCACTGGAAAGTCCACGAAGAGAGAACACAAATTGAGTGTGACCAAATCTATAGTGACAGTTGACTTTATTTGAATTGTATCCTATTTTTGGTGGTGGTACTATATCATTTTTATGACAGCAGGAAATTATCTCTCTCTTTTATTTCCTACATACAACTGAAACCCAATAATAGTACTATGTTTTATATTTTGATTCAAATACTACACAATGAAACCTAGACTATTTTTGAGGCATCAAGAATCTTGCCCAATGAAACAGTTTCACTTAATATTTTCATTATTTCAATCCAAACAGAGCTTTTCTACCCATACTGAGTCATTTTTTTAATTGACTATAGTTATATTCATAAAACATATTGACCAGAAAAGTAACATTTGTACTATGCTTAGTTCATACAATAAAAGGTTTGACGACAAAAAAAGGGGGGGTGGGAATAAAAGGAATATAAGACTTGTGTGTTCCAGTTCCTTTAGGATTTTTCATTTTGGCTCTTTCAATATTCAGTTCTGAACTTTGTTTTTCTTTCTTTCATCCTCTTATGTATTTTACATAGTAGCATGTTTATTATATATATATTTTTTCTTTTGGTGAAAATATACACACTCCCATTTTACTCTCTAAATAGAATAACCAATAACTAAGGAGCTCTGGTAGCGTAGTGGTTACAAATCGGGCTGTGAAGTGCAAGGTCAGCAGTTCGAAACTACCAGCTGTTCCACGGGAGAAAGATGAGGTTTTCTGCTCCCTTATCCTCGGAAACCCTGTACAGGGTCACTATGAATTGGAACCGACTTCACGGCACATAACAACAACAATGGCTGGTGTGGTGCTGTGGGTTAATGTGCCAGACTGTAAAGTCGTTTGAACTGCAAGGTCAGCAGTTCAAGCTCACCAGCTGCTCCTCAGAAACCCTATACAGGGTCACTATGGGTCGGGACCGACTTGACAGGACTTAATAACAACAATAATATGGTTATATTCTGTTCTAGTTATTTCAATGTCATTTATTTATTTGGCTATGTTCCCCCCTCTTCTCATATCTGCTTTAAAAGTAGCTGTTAATTTTGGATTAATATATGTATAAAATTTAAGTAATACAATGCTCAAGGATGATAATCTTCAGTATTTACTCTTTGGATTAAACTACTACTTAGTTTAAAATTATTTCAAGGAATAATTTGAATTTAAAGTTTGAAGAACAAATGAAAGCCAAAATCTCAGGGATTCACCCACCCTTATTAGTTTATTCTTTAGGAATTTGAAAATCTGTTTTATATTTATCTCCCTTTTTAGCAGGATTTGTCTATCATGGTCCCAATCAGAATATTCAGTAGTAGTAATCAGGCACCATCATTTCTTCAGGTTCCAAAGTAGATGAAGACAATTCATCCTGTGGTCTGGTTCCATTTCTGATTCTTTAGGTTCTTTTTCCCTTCTATTTTAAATGAAGAAATAGTTGTATCTTAGATAGCTGTATGTAAGCTTTTAAGACCCAAACACTACCTAACCATACTAGGAGGTAGAATATAAACTTTATGTGCTATATCGTGGCAATTCACTGTTGCTGTTATGTGCTGTGGAGTCAGTTCTGACTCATAGTGACCCTGAACAGGGTTTCCGAGGCTGTAAATCTTACGGGAGCAGAAAGCCTCATCTTTCTCCCATGGAACAGCTGGTAGTTTCGAACTGCTGACTTTGCGGTTCACAGCCCAATTCGTAACCACTATGCTACCAGAGCTCCTTAGGCCCCTAAAATAATCAAGAATACTATTCCCATGAAGTAATTAGTTATGTCTAATTAATATCAACATCTTTAACCATTACCACCTTCTTTTTGGTTATTGTTATTGTTGCAAAATCATATGTAACCTAGCATTTGTCCATTCATCCCTTTTCCTCGGTTATATTATAATCCTGTGCACACGTCACCCATTTTCAGTGCCACCTTATACATTTCTATAAATAAAAAGTTATTACTACGTAAAGAGCACTTCTCTATCTTCTCTCTGCAACCCCACCACTTTAGGGTAACCACTAATAACCACTAATTTCTTTATCTTTACATATTCATGTTATTTCATAAAAGTGATAATATACACATCTTTTCTTTCTCTTTGTGTTTTGTGATTGACTCACTTTACTCACCATATAATGTTCTCCAGGTTCATCAATATTGTATGATATTTTGGGAATTTATGTTTTCTTAGCACTGAGTAGAAGTCTATTGTATGTATGTGCCACATTCTATTTATTCATTCATCTCGTGACAGATACTTAGGTTGTTCCCATAATTTTGCAACTGTGAATAATGCCGTGTTGAACATAGGTATGCACATGTCTATTATGTCACTTCTATTAGAGCCCTAAGTCATACAAAGATAAACCAAAAAGTATTCCTACAAAATCAGAGAAATGTTTATTTAAAAAAATATTAAAATGTGAAGCTATTGTTTCTTGACATATCCTCCATCTAACTCTATGTGGTGTTTGTATCTGTCTTTTGGTATGGCACTATAGGATAAGCACTGGATTGTTAACTGCATGGCCAGCGGTTCAAACTCACCAGCTACTCCTAAGAAACCCTATACAGGGTCTCTATGAGTTGGAACCAATTCATAACTGGCACTTAACTAACAAAAATAGAAGACCACACACACAATCCTTTCCTGAAGAACTCTGCACTCATTAATTTACACATCAAAACATAATTTTAGGCATCTTTTGTTGTTGTTTTTGTTGACTGTCTTCCAACTGGTTTCAACTCATAGAGACCCTGTATAGGATTTCAGAGGAGTAATTGGTGACTTCAAACCACTGACCTTGTGGTTCAAACAGACCTTGCGACCTATTGCATTTTACTACAGTGCCATAGCAGGCATCTTTAGGGGACTTAAATCTTGTTCTTTGAAATGTTCTTTGACTTGCGGAAACAAAAGAAGTCTGAAGTGGCAAGATCAGGGCTGTGTGGTGAATGAGTAGTTTCTTAACGAAATGGAATTCTTGTATGACAACCCTTGCTACCCTTAAAAAATTAGGAGGTACATTATCATGAAAGAAAAAAATATTCTTCTTCATAACTTTTTCTATCTTTTCACCAATGCACTTTGCATTTTTCTTAAAACTTCTTCCTAAGAAGCCTCAATGATTATGCTGTGTCCTTTAAAAAGTCTATCAAGATTACTCTAGAATTTTAGAAGTCACCATAACTTCATAACTACCTCTCTGCCTTGAATTTAAATGGCCCAGCAGATCCCTTCTGAAGCCACTGTTTTTAATGAACTCTTCTTCTTCTTCTTCTTTTACACTTCTCCTCCTCCTCCTCTTCTTTTCCTTCTTCCCAAACTATCCTGTGTCTATTCCCTACCCTGTGCTCTACCTTCCCCTCCCTCCCCTCAACCCAACCCCCACAACGTGCTAACCAGCAATGAATCCCCCTGCCCCCCCTTTAGTATGGGTTCTTTCTCTTAGTCTTTTACAGTAATGGTAATATACATTATTTCTCCTTTTGTGACTGACTAATTACACTCAACATAATGTCCTCAAGATTCATCCATGTTATGTGATAGCTTACAGCTTCCTTGTTTGTTCTTCAAGGTAGCATAATATTCCATTGTGTGTATGTACCACAGTTTGTTTATCCATTCTTCCATTGATGGGCACTTAGGCTGTCTCCATATTTTGACTATTGTAACTAGTGCTGCTATGAACATCGGTGTGCATATATCTACTCATGTTATGGCTCATATTTCTTGTGGGTAAATACCAAGTGGAGGAATTGCTGGATCATAAGGTATTTCTATTTACCACCTTCTGAGGAAGCGCCATATTGCTTTCCAGAGAGGTTGGACCATTTTGCAATCCCACCAGCAACGAAGGATGGTCCCAGTCTCTCCGCATCCTCGCCAGCATTTATTGTCCTCTGCTTTTTTGATCTTTGCTGTTATTGCTGGTATGAGATGATATCTCATTGTTGTTTTGATTTTCATCTCTCTAAT